GATAGTTTGGTTATTACAGGTGATTTTAATATTCATGTGGATAATGTTGATGACAGAAATGCAAATGAGCTGAGTTCTGTACTTGAATCCTTTGATCTCACTCAGCACGTAAGTGGCCCCACCCACAGCAGAGGGCACACTCTAGATCTGTTAGTTACAAAGGGGGTGATTATTTCAAATGTAAACGTGGTCGATGTTGCTCTTTCGGATCATTTCTGTGTTTTTTTTGACATGTGTTTCACTAACAAACCACCAGTGGACTCTGCAACTGTTCGAAGAAGGCGCATAAATGAAAATACGAGTGAACTATTTATGGAAATGATAAACTTTGAGAATGCATCATATTCTACTGTAGATGAACTGTTTAACTCTGTCACCTCTAGTGTTTTGAATGTTCTGGATACCGTTGCCCCTGTGAAGGTTAAAATAGTGAAAAATAAGCAGAAGGCGCCGTGGGCTAAAGCAGACTCGGTCAGGGCACAAAAGAGAAAGTGCCGGAGGGCCGAGCGGAAGTGGCGCAAGTCCAACCTCCAGGTAGATTACGAGATCTTCAAAGATAAGTTGTGCGAGTTTAACCGGGTGCTACGTAGTACGAGAGAAAGGTATTTTTCTGAAATGATTGAAGGCTGCAGCAACAATCTGCGTGTTCTGTTCTCAACAGTTAATAGATTAACAAACCCCCCTGTTCAAATGCCATTAGAGCTTACTTCCAAACGTAAATGCAATGAGTTTGCTAATTTTTTCAATGACAAGGTTCAAGGCATCAAAAGCGCCATTGTCTCCAATCCACAGATAACCATCCAACAGCCAGAAAGGCTCTCTGAGCTAACTCACTTTGCACCTGTAAATGATCAAACTGTCCAAGAGATAATCTCCAGTTCGAGCTCCTCCACATGCAGCCTGGATGTACTACCCACTAGATTTCTGAAGTCTGTTCTGAGCAGTCTGTTACCTTCACTCACACAGATAGTAAACATGTCCCTTCATTCTGGAATATTCCCAAAGGCCCTGAAAACTGCAGTCATCAGGCCCCTGCTAAAAAAGAGCAGTCTGGATGCCACTGTACTTAACAACTATCGTCCCATCTCAAATCTGCCATTTATGGGGAAAGTCCTTGAGAAAGTTGTCTACCTACAGCTTACTAGATTTCTTATAATCAACAACTCATTTGATATGTTTCAGTCCGGCTTTAGACCCCACCACAGCACTGAGACTGCTCTCGTTAAGGTTACAAACGATATCCGGCTGAACACTGACGCAGGCCAAGTCTCAATCTTAATCTTGTTAGATCTAAGTGCTGCCTTTGATACTGTCGACCATGAGATCCTCTTACAGAGACTAGAGGACTGGGTTGGCGTCACTGGCACCGCCCTAAGTTGGTTTAGGTCTTACCTTGAAGACAGGAAGTACTTTGTGGAGATTGGAAACTGTGTCTCAGATCATATGGCCCTGACCTGTGGAGTCCCACAGGGGTCGATCCTGGGACCTCTTCTGTTCAATCTCTACATGCTGCCGTTAGGTCAGTTAATACGCAGAAACAAAGTTTCCTATCATAACTATGCAGACGACACTCAGATCTATGTCTCACTGACTGCAGGAGAACATGGACCAGTGGACTCACTCCTTCACTGTATCCAACAGATCAGTGAGTGGATGCAAAACAACTTCCTTCAGCTAAACGCAGACAAAACTGAAATGATTGTCTTTGGTCCCCAGAAACAAAGAGAGAGCGTCATCTGTCACCTACAGTCTCTCTCCCTAAAACCTTCAAACAAGGTCAGAAATCTAGGGGTAATACTGGACTCAGACTTAAATTTTAATAGCCACATCAAATCAGTAACATCAGCAGCTTTTTACCATCTAAAAAACATTGCCAGGATCAAAAACATAGTGTCTAAAGCAGACTTGGAGATTCTTATCCATGCATTTGTCTCCAGTAGGTTGGACTACTGCAATGGCCTGCTCACAGGTCTGTCCAAACAGGCTGTAAAACAGCTGCAGTACATTCAAAATGCAGCAGCTCCAGTCCTGACTAGAACCAGGAAGTACGACCACATTAGTCCTGACTAGAACCAGGAAGTACGACCACATTAGTCCTGACTAGAACCAGGAAGTACGACCACATTAGTCCAGTCCTCAGGTCTCTGCACTGGCTTCCTGTGGCTCAGAGAATAGACTTTAAAACAGCTCTGCTTGTTACAAGTCTCTCCATGGCCTCGCACCAAAATATATTAGTGACATGTTAGTCCCATATGAACCAGCCCGGACTCTGAGGAGCACAGGGACTGGACTCCTGTTAGTGCCCAGAGTCAGAACTAAACATGGGGAGGCTGCTTTTCAGATTAATGCTGCTAAAATCTGGAACAGTCTTCCTGAAGATGTGAGACAGGCCTCCTCTCTGACAATGTTTAAAACCAGGTTAAAGACGGTTCTGTTTAACTGTGCATACAACTGAGGGATTTTATATTTTTATCTTTCTTTTTAATGTTCTGTGATAATTTATGATTTTAATGCTTTCTTGTTTTGTTCAGCACTTTGAATTGCCTTGTGTATGAATTGTGCTATATAAATAAACTTGCCTTGCCTTGCCTTGCCTTGCACCTCCCACTGCGCCTCCATCTACTGCACCTCCATCTACTGCACCTCCCACTGCACCTCCATCTACTGCACCTCCATCTACTGCACCTCCATCTACTGCACCTCCCACTGCGCCTCCATCTACTGCACCTCCATCTACTGCACCTCCCACTGCACCTTCATCTACTGCACCTCCCACTGCACCTCCATCTACTGCACCTCCCACTGCACCTCCTCCCATGGCACCTCCATCTACTGCACCTCCCACTGCACCTCCATCTACTGCACCTCCATCTACTGCACCTCTGCTAAATGATTTCCAATTGTGTTTTGGGTTCATTGTTTACAGTGATATAAAGGATGGTGTGAACTTCCTCATAAACTGTCTCTAACATTTAACCTAAAATCTTCCACGGTGGTATTTTGGCGAGAGGCGGATTGAAGCCTGATAGAGCGGTCACAGAGTGATCACAGAGCGGTCACAGAGTGATCACAGAGCGGTCACAGAGCGGTCACAGAGCGGTCACAGAGCGATCACAGAGCGGTCACAGAGTGATCACAGAGCGGTCACAGAGCGGTCACAGAGCGGTCACAGAGTGATCACAGAGCGGTCACAGAGTGATCACAGAGCGATCACAGAGCGATCACAGAGCGGTCACAGAGTGATCACAGAGCGGTCACAGAGTGATCACAGAGCGATCACAGAGCGGTCACAGAGCGGTCACAGAGCGGTCACAGAGCGATCACAGAGCGGTCACAGAGCAGAGCGATCACAGAGCGGTCACAGAGTGATCACAGAGCGATCACAGAGCGATCACAGAGCGGTCACAGAGCGATCACAGAGCGGTCACAGAGCGATCACAGAGCGGTCACAGAGCGGTCACAGAGCGGTCACAGAGCGATCACAGAGCGGTCACAGAGCAGAGCGATCACAGAGCGGTCACAGAGTGATCACAGAGCGATCACAGAGCGATCACAGAGCGGTCACAGAGCGATCACAGTGCGGTCACAGAGCGATCACAGAGCGGTCACAGAGCAGAGCGATCACAGAGCGGTCACAGAGTGATCACAGAGCGATCACAGAGCGATCACAGAGCGGTCACAGAGCGGTCACAGAGCGGTCACAGAGCGATCACAGAGCGGTCACAGAGCAGAGCGATCACAGAGCGGTCACAGAGTGATCACAGAGCGATCACAGAGCGATCACAGAGCGGTCACAGAGCAGAGCGATCACAGAGCGGTCACAGAGTGATCACAGAGCGATCACAGAGCGATCACAGAGCGGTCACAGAGCGATCACAGAGCGATCACAGAGCGATCACAGAGCGGTCACAGAGCGGTCACAGAGCGGTCACAGAGCGATCACAGAGCGGTCACAGAGCGGTCACAGAGCGGTCACAGAGCGGTCACAGAGCGGTCCCTCTCCGACAGCAGCGAGGACAGAATGTGAAATAATTACATGTGATTAAATCCTGGCTGCGCTGGTCACACCAGACTGTATTACATTATATTTGTGAAATACAGACTGAGCCACAGGAGAGTTCAGCAGCAGCAGGAGCAGAGCAGCAGCAGCAGAAGCAGCAGAAGCAGCAGCAGCAGCAGAAGCAGCAGCAGCAGCAGCAGCAGAAGCAGCAGCAGCAGCAGCAGAAGCAGCAGAAGCAGCAGCAGCAGCAGCAGCAGAAGCAGCAGCAGCAGCAGCAGCAGAAGCAGCAGCAGCAGCAGCAGAAGCAGCAGCAGCAGCAGCAGCAGCAGCAGAAGCAGCAGCAGAAGCAGAAGCAGCAGCAGTAGCAGCAGCAGAAGCAGCAGCAGCAGCAGCAGCAGAAGCAGCAGCAGCAGAAGCAGAAGCAGCAGCAGTAGCAGCAGCAGAAGCAGCAGCAGCAGCAGAAGCAGCAGCAGCAGCAGCAGAAGCAGAAGCAGCAGCAGCAGTAGCAGAAGCAGCAGCAGCAGCAGCAGAAGCAGAAGCAGCAGCAGTAGCAGCAGCAGAAGCAGCAGCAGCAGAAGCAGTAGTAGCAGCAGCAGCAGCAGCAGCAGCAGCAGCAGCAGCAGCAGCAGCAGCAGCAGCAGCAGCAGCAGCAGCAGCAGCAGCAGCAGCAGCAGCAGCAGCAGAAGCAGCAGCAGCAGCAGCAGAAGCAGAAGCAGCAGCAGTAGCAGCAGCAGAAGCAGCAGCAGCAGTAGCAGAAGCGGCAGGAGCAGAAGCAGCAGCAGCAGAAGCAGAAGCAGCAGCAGTAGCAGCAGCAGAAGCAGCAGCAGCAGCAGCAGCAGCAGCAGAAGCAGAAGCAGCAGCAGTAGCAGCAGCAGAAGCAGCAGCAGCAGCAGCAGAAGCAGCAGCAGCAGTAGCAGTAGTAGCAGCAGCAGCAGCAGCAGAAGCGGCAGGAGCAGAGCAGCAGCAGAAGAGACCTCCTGCAGAGACTTTGACATGTCACTTAATCGTCTGCAGACCTGACCACAGCAGATTCTTTCTCTGCTGAATGAAGTGGCCTGGGGCAGGAGGTGCAGCGTACGGCCGTGACGGGAGGTGCAGCGTACGGCCGTGACGGGAGGTGCAGCGTACGGCCGTGACGGGAGGTGCAGCGTACGGCCGTGACGGGAGGTGCAGCGTACGGCCGTGACGGGAGGTGCAGCGTACGGCCGTGACGGGAGGTGCAACGTACGGCCGTGACGGGAGGTGCAGCGTACGGCCGTGACGGGAGGTGCAGCGTACGGCCGTGACGGGAGGTGCAGCGTACGGCCGTGACGGGAGGTGCAGCGTACGGCCGTGACGGGAGGTGCAGCGTACGGCCGTGACGGGAGGTGCAGCGTACGGCCGTGACGGGAGGTGCAGCGTACAGCCGTGACGGGAGGTGCAGCGGGGAAGGCCCTGAGGAGAGCGTGTTAATATGGACGCCAGCTCCACAGATGTCTTCCTTACATCTGTGGCCAAGGGGAGACGTCAGCTCATGAAAGCCCAGACATGTGTGTCGCTAACGGCAACATTAAAGAACGAGGCTCATGAAAGCAGAGGATGATCTCAATCTATCATGAGCCACAGCAGCTGCTTCACGCACGCCGTCTGAAGCTTCACGCACGCCGTCTGAAGCTTCACGCACGCCGTCTGAAGCTTCACGCACGCCGTCTGAAGCTTCACGCACGCCGTCTGAAGCTTCACGCACGCCGTCTGAAGCTTCACGCACGCCGTCTGAAGCTTCACGCACGCCATCTGAAGCTTCACGCACGCCGTCTGAAGCTTCACGCACGCCGTCTGAAGCTTCACGCACGCCGTCTGAAGCTTCACGCACGCCGTCTGAAGCTTCACGCACGCCGTCTGAAGCTTCACGCACGCCATCTGAAGCTTCACGCACGCCGTCTGAAGCTTCACGCACGCCGTCTGAAGCTTCACGCACGCCGTCTGAAGCTTCACGCACGCCGTCTGAAGCTTCACACACGCCGTCTGAAGCTTCACGCACGCCGTCTGAAGCTTCACGCACGCCGTCTGAAGCTTCACGCACGCCGTCTGAAGCTTCACGCACGCCGTCTGAAGCTTCACGCACGCCGTCTGAAGCTTCACACACGGCGTTTGCAGCTTCACACACGGCGTTTGCAGCTTCACGCACGGCGTCTGAAGCTTCACGCACGCCGTCTGAAGCTTCACGCACGCCGTCTGAAGCTTCACGCACGCCGTCTGAAGCTTCACGCACGCCGTCTGAAGCTTCACGCACGCCGTCTGAAGCTTCACACACGCCGTCTGAAGCTTCACGCACGCCGTCTGAAGCTTCACGCACGCCGTCTGCAGCTTCACACACGCCGTCTGAAGCTTCACACACGGCGTCTGCAGCTTCACACACGGCGTTTGCAGCTTCACACACGGCGTTTGCAGCTTCACACACGGCGTTTGCAGCTTCACACACGGCGTTTGCAGCTTCACACACGCCGTCTGAAGCTTCACACACGGCGTTTGCAGCTTCACACACGGCGTTTGCAGCTTCATGCACGGCGTCTGAAGCTGCTCACGCTCAGCTCCACACTCTTCCTCTTCATCAATCACCGACTGCAGAGAGAGAGTGTTCACATGGAGCTCTGTATTCACACAGCTCTCTCTGATGCAGGGAAAGGAAAGATCTAATGTGCCTTAAATCTGCCAATCAGCATTTTGTTCTGCAGCGTCGTCAATACTGGACTCACATTCTCCATTAACTAATGAGCCCAGAAATAAGCAGGAGCTCTTTATGGTTTACACAGAGGAGCAGTGTCAGTATAAACAGCATGTGTCTGATCTGCTGCATCGATCCCAACTGCGGACTTTGTTTTATTGAAACATAATAATAATAATGCATTGGTTTTATACTGTGCTTGCTCAGACTCTCAAAGTCTCTTCACTTCATTATCCTCTCTCTCCAAACACTGTGTAGCCACAGCTGCCCTGGGGCACACCACCAACCAGTCACACACTGAAACTTGTCCACTGCTCAGTTATTTCTTATGAATGTGAATGTCAGCTTTATCTGTATAGCACATTTCCAACAGCAGCTGCCCCAAAGTACTTCACAGTAAACTCTGTGAGGGTTCAAAAGCCACGACGAAAACATGTGTTTTTAGACTGAAAACGTCCAATAAAGGAGCGGCTTTGAGAACCTCCTCATCACCTCCTCCATCACCTCCTCATCACCTCCTCCATCACCTCCTCATCACCTCCTCATCACCTCCTCCATCACCTCCTCCATCACCTCCTCCATCACCTCCTCATCACCTCCTCCATCACCTCCTCATCACCTCCTCCATCACCTCCTCCATCACCTCCTCATCACCTCCTCCATCACCTCCTCATCACCTCCTCATCACCTCCTCCATCACCTCCTCATCACCTCCTCCCTCACCTCCTCCATCACCTCCTCCATCACCTCCTCCATCACCTCCTCATCACCTCCTCCATCACCTCCTCATCACCTCCTCCATCACCTCCTCATCACCTCCTCCATCACCTCCTCCATCACCTCCTCCATCACCTCCTCCATCACCTCCTCATCACCACCTCCATCACCTCCTCCATCACCTCCTCCATCACCTCCTCATCACCTCCTCATCACCTCCTCCATCACCTCCTCATCACCACCTCCATCACCTCCTCCATCACCTCCTCATCACCTCCTCCATCACCTCCGCATCACCTCCTCCATCACCTCCTCCATCACCTCCTCATCACCTCCTCCATCACCTCCTCCATCACCTCCTCATCACCTCCTCATCACCTCCTCCATCACCTCCTCATCACCTCCTCATCACCTCCTCCATCACCTCCTCCATCACCTCCTCCATCACCTCCTCCATCACCTCCTCATCACCTCCTCCATCACCTCCTCATCATCACCTCCATCACCTCCTCCATCACCTCCTCCATCACCTCCTCCATCACCTCCTCATCACCTCCTCATCACCTCCTCCCTCACCTCCTCCATCACCTCCTCCCTCACCTCCTCCATCACCTCCTCAATCACCTGCTCATCACCTCCTCCATCACCTCCTTCATCACCTCCTCATCACCTCCTCATCACCTCCTCCATCACCTCCTCCATCACCTCCTCCCTCACCTCCTCCATCACCTCCTCCATCACCTCCTCCACCACCTCCTCCATCACCTCCTCCATCACCTCCTCCATCACCTCCTCCATCACCTCCTCCACCACCTCCTCCATCACCTCCTCCATCACCTCCTCATCACCTCCTCCATCACCTCCTCATCACCTCCTCCATCACCTCCTCCATCACCTCCTCATCACCTCCTCATCACCTCCTCATCACCTCCTCATCACCTCCTCCATCACCTCCTCATCACCTCCTCCCTCACCTCCTCCATCACCTCCTCCATCACCTCCTCCATCACCTCCTCATCACCTCCTCCATCACCTCCTCATCAGCTCCTCCATCACCTCCTCATCACCTCCTCCATCACCTCCTCCATCACCTCCTCCATCACCTCCTCATCACCACCTCCATCACCTCCTCCATCACCTCCTCCATCACCTCCTCATCACCTCCTCATCACCTCCTCCATCACCTCCTCATCACCACCTCCATCACCTCCTCCATCACCTCCTCATCACCTCCTCCATCACCTCCGCATCACCTCCTCCATCACCTCCTCCATCACCTCCTCATCACCTCCTCCATCACCTCCTCCATCACCTCCTCATCACCTCCTCATCACCTCCTCCATCACCTCCTCATCACCTCCTCATCACCTCCTCCATCACCTCCTCCATCACCTCCTCATCACCTCCTCCATCACCTCCTCATCATCACCTCCATCACCTCCTCCATCACCTCCTCCATCACCTCCTCATTACCTCCTCATCACCTCCTCCCTCACCTCCTCCATCACCTCCTCCATCACCTCCTCAATCACCTGCTCATCACCTCCTCCATCACCTCCTCCATCACCTCCTCCATCACCTCCTCATCACCTCCTCATCACCTCCTCCATCACCTCCTCCATCACCTCCTCCATCACCTCCACCCTCACCTCCTCCATCACCTCCTCCATCACCTCCTCCACCACCTCCTCCATCACCTCCTCCATCACCTCCTCCCTCACCTCCTCCATCACCTCCTCCATCACCTCCTCCATCACCTCCTCCATCACCTCCTCCACCACCTCCTCCATCACCTCCTCATCACCTCCTCATCACCTCCTCCATCACCTCCTCATAACCTCCTCCATCACCTCCTCCATCACCTCCTCCATCACCTCCTCCATCACCTCCTCATCACCTCCTCCATCACCTCCTCATCATCACCTCCATCACCTCCTCCATCACCTCCTCCATCACCTCCTCATCACCTCCTCATCACCTCCTCCCTCACCTCCTCCATCACCTCCTCCCTCACCTCCTCCATCATCTCCTCCATCACCTCCTCCATCACCTCCTCATCCACCTCCTCCATCACCTCCTCATCACCTCCTCCATCACCTCCTCCCTCACCTCCTCCCTCACCTCCTCCATCACCTCCTCCCTCACCTCCTCCATCACCTCCTCAATCACCTGCTCATCACCTCCTCCATCACCTCCTCCATCACCTCCTCCATCACCTCCTCATCACCTCCTCATCACCTCCTCCATCACCTCCTCCATCACCTCCTCCATCACCTCCTCCCTCACCTCCTCCATCACCTCCTCCATCACCTCCTCCACCACCTCCTCCATCACCTCCTCATCACCTCCTCCATCACCTCCTCCACCACCTCCTCCCTCACCTCCTCCATCACCTCCTCATCACCTCCTCATCACCTCCTCCATCACCTCCTCATCACCTCCTCCATCACCTCCTCCATCACCTCCTCCCTCACCTCCTCCATCACCTCCTGGACTATTCCAACCACTCCCCTCTCACCTGCACATGGACTATTCCAACCACTCCCCTCTCACCTGCACATGGACTATTCCAACCACTCCCCTCTCACCTGCACATGGACTATTCCAACCACTCCCCTCTCACCTGCACATGGACTATTCCAACCACTCCCCTCTCACCTGCACATGGACTATTCCAACCACTCCCCTCTCACCTGCACATGGACTATTCCAACCACTCCCCTCTCACCTGCACATGGACTATTCCAACCACTCCCCTCTCACCTGCACATGGACTATTCCAACCACTCCCCTCTCACCTGCACATGGACTATTCCAACCACTCCCCTCTCACCTGCACATGGACTATTCCAACCACTCCCCTCTCACCTGCACATGGACTATTCCATCCACTCCCCTCTCACCTGCACATGGACTATTCCAACCACTCCCCTCAGGCAGGAGGCTGCGGTCCATCAGGACTAGAACCTCCCGCCACAAGAACAGTTTCTTCCCCTCTGCTGTTGGACTCTTGAACACTTCTTAACCTGTCCCCCCGCCCTTTATAAAGTCACTTTACTGCCCATCATACGTCACTTTACTTCACTGTACTGCTGTCACCTTACATTGTGTGCACCATGTGCACTTGGATATTGTAAATAGTAACGTATAATAATGTATAATAAATGTATATTAAACTCTATTTTAATTTTAATTTTAAATGTATTGCTTAGAAGTTCATTTTATTTTTCATTATGCCTTCACTACTTTTACCTCTCTCTCTGACTGTTGCACTGAGCCAAAGCTGCTTCCAAGTCTGTGACTTCCTGTTACTTACGTGGCAATAAAAATGATTCTTTTTGTTTATCCCTTTTCCTTTGAAACGCTGAGTATGGACATTATCTGACCTCTAATAAACGTTTTAAAAAGCTTCCCAGTTAATACAGATAATACTCATCTGCCTGGGGGGCTTTGATTGAGGTCCATAAAATAATCCATTTGTTCGTAAATCATACTTTTAAATGAATCATAAGACATCAGTCGAGGCCTGGGGTGGAAGGAGCACAAGATTAAAGACTAAAATCTCCACCAGATATCAGTTGTCTTTCTGTGATTCTGGTAGAATCCCTGTTACGGTGGAGAAGAAGTTAGGATCGTCATAGTTTGGTCCATATATATTCTCCAAAATAACCTGTTTCCATAATTTACCTTTCACGATGATGTACCTCTGTTATCTGCAATTGTTGTTAGTGGAATGAAAGGAATTCCCTTTTTAATCAGAAAGTCGCTCTTGTCTTAGCATCGTGCTTTGAGCTAAATATCTGCCCTATCCAAGGTTTTATAAGTCTGTTCTGTTCTAACGCAGATGTGTTTTGATACATCAGACTTAAACTCTAGAGCGTTTAATTGGATTATTAATACCCTTAACATTCCAACTGCAAATCACCCATTTAAGTCTATTGTAAAATTAAATCTATAATACAATAGAAAAATAAAAATACAGTTGTTTCTGCCCAGTAAAACAAGAAAAAAGAAACCAAAAAGGAGCCAACAATTAAAAATAAATAAAAACCCTGTGCAGATCTACTATAGAAAATAAAAATAGAGATCGCATCCCTGATAGCAAAACGCAACAGCTAAACATCCAACTCCTCAAGTCAACACTCTGAACTTTGTCAAAAACATTTTATATATATATATATATATTTTAAATGTCTCTCGGGGGGAACATGTACAACAACATTCTCCTTTACAAAATCAAGTAGGTAGATACGACTAATACTACAAATAAGTGAAAAAAAAATAATAATAATAACAATAATAAAAAATAAATCAACTCTTACAATGGCAAGAATTTTGTTTTTAGAATATCACCAGAAAACATCAAGAACAAGCAAAGAACGAAAAAGAAAGAAGTTCAAATGTCCATCATAGATTATTTTACCAAATGGACCTTCTGTCAGCGACTCACCGCGGGCTGTGTCCTCTGTTCTTGGGTTAGGGCGCTGCTCTCGACCCGACGTGGGGAGTAATCGGAGTGTTGCAGAGTAATGCGGAGTGTTGCAGAGTAATGCGGAGTGTTGCAGAGTAATGTAGAGTGTTGCAGAGTAATGCGAGTGTTGCAAGAGTAATGCGGAGTGTTGCAGAGTAATGTGGAGTGTTGCAGAGTAATGTAGAGTGTTGTAGAGTAATGCGGAGTGTTGCAGAGTAATGCAGATTGAGTTGCAGAGTAATGTAGAGTGTTAGAGAGTAATGCGGAGTTTGCAGAGTAATGCGGAGTGTTGCAGAGTAATGCGGAGTGTTGCAAGAGTAATGTTGGAAGTGTTGCAGAGTAAATGTAGAATGTTGTAGAGTAAATAAGCCCAAATCTGACGTCTGTGCAGCTCCGGAGAAGCCTCTTAACCTCCGAAAAGGCAGCTCGTTTCTTGGCTACATCAGAGGTGTAGTCGGGAAAGATACTTATCTTCTTCCTGTAGAAACATTGTAGAAACATTGGTGCAGAACTTGCCCTCCAGAATACTTGCTCCTTTTCTTGAAAGTAGTGAAACTTCACCACAATCGCCCTGGGCGAGTCTCCATCTTCAGGCTGCGGTGTGCACGGTCTAATGTCGGGACAAATTCGAGACTCAGTAGCTCTTTCAGCATAGTGCCAATCACTTCTGTGGGTTTACCGGACGTTTCCGAGCTTCTTTCACTCCAATAATGCGAGCATTACATCGACGTTGTCGTCCTTCCAAGTCATCTATCTTTTGAGTTAGCTTAGCCACCTGTAGCTTCAGCTGGCTAACTCTGCTCCTCCACTGTCCGATCAGAATATTCGCTTAACCCCGACTCTACTTCTTGGAGACGGACATCTTGGCTCACCAGGTCCGACTTTATGGATCCTATCTTGTCATTTAAATCCTTCGTGCTCGAGTTGATACGTGATAGAATCTTCTGCTCTGAGCTAGCAATAGCTTCCATCACCACAGTCATGTCCCGAGGTTGCGGCCCCAGCAACAGGGCTCCGAGCCCGAGGCTTTTGTGGCTCTTTACCACTTCTTTTGGTAATTTTTCTCGCCGTCAAAGTTGCAAACTTTCAGAAAATCACGTCCATATAGTTCACTGACATGTTCCTTCAGCCCAAAAGAGTTTTAGCGAGTGTTGAAGCTATTAAATAATGAAAAACATGTTCCCCGCCACGGAGCGCTGTAAAACCCGTCCTCACATGGCTACGCTCACCAGCGCCCCCCATAAGAACATGTTTTACTGTTTGCTCTTGCTTCAGTGTTGGCACAACCCATCAGGGTGTCTCCCCATTTGAACCAGATCCCACCCTAAACCACAATGTCCCAGTCTAAGCCTGGTTAAAATGACGGCAGGTTTCCGATCCTTCCCTGTGTATACACTCTGAGGTTTTACTGACGGGTTAATATCATAGTAATGGCGCCCCCACACTACTCTAACCTCAATGTCCTTTTTTAAAGCCCACTTTGCTGCCATATCAGCCACTTCATTTCCAAACACCCCGATATGAGCAGGGACCCACATAAAGCCAACACTATTGCAGGCCCTCTCAATTCTGAACAGGGAAGACAGTAGCTCTGCAGCCAGATCAGGCCTAGCATTTGCTTCTCCTCCCCCCAAAGATTCTGTCAGGGATGAAGCAGACAGAGACGGATCGTGGTGCGCCAAACTCTGGAAGTTTATTTAAGTTTCTCTCAAGTTCCAGTGGTTTCTGTTGTTTCTTTCGGCACGGTGGCTGAGTGGATA